GCCATGAATGGGGGCGGGGCGCCCACTTGTCTGTAAGTAAATCCTCACTCCAAGCTCAGTTATCAAGTCCAATAAACTCGTTAAAGTTCTTCAAACCCAGGTTTGGAGAATTTTTTCCTCAGGTTGTCACAAGGACCATGGGAGGAGGGGACTGGATGCCACGTGCACCTCCCAGCGGTGAATTTGACTGGAGGAAATACATTGACCCAGCCTCTGGAGGCTGCCGGAGGACCTGTGCACACAGAGTAGGGCTTTCCGTGGCATTACAGTAAGCACAAAGGTCTATGCGGGGTGTCTGATCTTTCAGTTTCTCTGAGTCTCATGGGAGGAACAACTGTCCTGGGCTACACCCAGGGGTGTCCATCTGTGGTCATGGGTTGCGAGAACATACGTGTAACACTGTGATACAACACTGTCGTCAGTTGAGAATCACACCACCAAGTCACAGATAAATAAAAAAATCCTTGAAGTGTTTTGAATAAGGTTTAGGATCTTGTGTTGGATACATTCATAGCTGTCCTGGGCTACATGAGGCCCACGTGTGGCCTTGGGGTGCACACACCTGGCAGGATGGCAGGGGCAGTCACTTTGTGGGCAACCCCAAGAAAGCTGTGGAGACAAAAGCCTGTGACCGCAGCCCTGAACAAAGGGAGGTGATTTTCACAAGAACTGGGTTTTGGGGGGCAGGGGCTGAACAGGGAAAAATGAACACACCAATACATGCATACAAAATAAATACACTGACATACACACACATACACTTCTGTATTAAGTGTTCACACACAAACATGTACATTCCAGCATCCGGCACACACACCAAGCTTGGACACCCCACCATTATTAAGAGTCTCAGAGTTTTTGCCCTGGGGCAGCTAGGGCTGTGGGGGGAAACACTGAGCACTGTGGTTAGGAGGGCAGTGGTGGCCGGCAAGGACGTGGCCTGCCATCTGCGGCTGCGGGGCCCTGAGGTCCGGCTCCATACTCACGCCTCCTTCCACCGCCACACCTCCCTCAGGAAGTCTTCCCGGCCCAGCTCATGTCTCCTCACGCCCCGCTCCCGCCACAGCTGTTTCTCCACCACAGCCTGAAGAGCAGAGGAACAGCAAGTTGGGCCATTCTAGAAGAGACCACTTTTAAGCAAGAAAAGGAAAACGCGACAAAAGATCCACCTGTGTAGCAATTCCTGCGTGATCGGAGCCAGGGACCCACAGCACCCGATCTCCGCGCATCCGGTGCCTGCAACAGAAGCACCAAGGGGAGCTCTGGAGCTTGCTCAGCCTCATCCACTCCAGCACCTTCCACCGCAGGAACTGCAGCACCCCAGGTCCCCTCACCAGCGCACGAGGGCGTCCTGTACGGCCACTGTGAGTGCGTGGCCGATGTGCAGAGAGCCAGTGACGTTGGGGGGCGGGATGCACATGGAAAAGGTCTCCCCTGTAGCCTGGGGCAGCCGCTCCTGGAAAAAATGGGGAGCCAGAGGGCAAGAGCGGGCTGGATATCACCCGGGGAAACAGCACCCTCTGCTGCCCCCGGGCAGAAAGACTTCAGGGAACAGTCCAGCATGGAGAGGTGCCCAGCGTTGCAGGGTAACTTTGCTGAAAGAGAAACCGAGCTCCGTGCTGAACGCTTGACCGTGAGGCTGGCCTGCGCAGGCCGAGGGCCAGGTCCAAGGGCCGCCCTGCCCTAGGGGCCACTCAGAAGCCCGCCGGCCACTGACCTGGTACTCCGGCTTGAAGAAGCCCTCTCGCACCCACCACGGGTACCAGGCCGCCTCCACATAGCGGGGGCTGTAAGCAGGAGGCAAGGGCGCAGAGACGTCTGTGGAGGCAGAGGAGGGTCCACTGCGGAACTGCCCGTGGCAGACCGCGGGCCACGACCACGGGAGGGCGCGGTTACCTTTCTTCTCCCAGGATGCGGTGGGGATGCCGTACTCCACTACCTCCTTGGGACGCCAGGCCTTGGGGGGCTCTGCGGGTGACTGTGGACGGGGCAGAGGGGGGCTTGCAAGTCCCAGAGTGGCACAGGCGAGGCCCAGCACCGGGTCCCCCTCAGACACCCCTAACCTCGGTCTGCTCGGTCAGCCCGGCCTCCAGGGCCGCCCGCTTCTCCCGCAGGCGCTTCTGTTTGGCTTCCCGGTTCCTGCGCGGGGCGGGGGCGCCATAGAGCGCCGACTGCGTGCACAGGAGCCGGGGCCGGCGGAGACCCCGACTCAGCCACCAAAGAGGCGGCCGGAAGGGGGCGGGAGGCACCGGGGGCATCGCGAGCATCTGGAGGCGGGATCTGCTCGCCCGGCCCGGCCTCCCGCCCGCCGGGGTCTCACTCGGTCCTCCGGCGCCGGCAGTGCACAGCCGACCGACCGTCGGGCGTCTCTGCACTCGGCGCCCACGGGGGACACGTGAAGGCGGGATCGGAGGGCATGCAGCCGGCTCCCGCCCGCGCCCTCCCGGCCCGGCTACCAACCACCGGAAAGTGCCTCTGGGACCGGAACGCGGCGGGCCCTGCGCACGCGCAGGAGAGAGTGGCGCATGCGCGGTGGACACGCCCTCCACCTGCGACGGGAAGCCGCGCTGAGGCGCCCAGGGCTGCGAGTTCATTTCCAATTTTATTAAACAAGAGCCGCCCCCGCGCAGACAGAAGCCCCGAGGCCGGCGGGGTCAGGAGCTGTGCTTTTGCCGCTTCCAGAAGCGCTTGACGTCGCTGTGCCCGGCCGGCGTCACCACCATCAGCCGCTTGGCCGCGTTCTCGAACACCAGCACGCCCAGCTCGCGCGCGTGGGCCAGCAGCAGCTCGAAGTCCACTTGCGACAGGAACTGGTTGTACAGGACGCCTGGAGGGGACAGCGGTCAGCGCTGCGGCACCGTGCGGGCCGGGCCGGGCCTGCCGGAGCTCATTTCCGTACCAGCCGCAGCCGGACCCAGCAGGGCAGCAGACGAGACCCCTGCAAGCCCACCCGGGAAAGCACTGAGTCCTTCCTGCTTCCCTCCCCGGCCTAATCCAGATTGCACGGATTTGGGGCGATTTATTTCCTGCTGCCAACATATCGAAACAAGGTATCAGGTTTTCTCTCCCTCTCTATGCAAGAAATAAAAAATGAAAATGCACAAATCCCTCTTCGTTCATCACAGCCAAACTCCTGCCTTTCCTCTACCCAGTGACCAACACTCGGCCCCCAGAAGCCACTCACCCTCGGTGAACCGAAGTCTGTCCCTTTCTAGCTCCCACAGCCGAATCTGGTCCGTGATGGTGGGTGGCAGCACCGGGGTCTGCAGGAGCAAGGGTAGAGCCAGTGCCCCAGTCACTGTGGGTTTGGATGCCCCCCTTTCTCTGTCCATCATCTTGCTAGGTGCTGAGGCTGCTAGCCCCCAGCATCCTGGTACCCGTCCATACCTGTTTGAGCATCACTGGGTGGGCCCTTGTCCTTAAGAAATGGATTATCTAGGAAAACAATACAGAAAGCCATCTGAGCCGCCACCCAGTGTCACTAAAACGGCATCTCTAGTCTCCTAGCCACATCCCTGTTGCAAGGGACGCCTCCCTGTTCAGCTGGCTCTTCCCGCTGCACCTCCAACTTCATGCCAGCCATTCCCTCTCTGGCACGTCTGTTCTTTCCATGGTCTTGTTTTTCTTCCTTTAAAATCGCAGCAGCTACTATATTTTGAGCACTTACTGCTCAGCAGGCTCTGAGCTAAGTGCCTTCATGTCTTCTAACACCTCTCCGAGGTGAGGACTGCCATTCACCATAGTAGCAGAGCAGGACCCCAGAAGTAAAGCAGCTACAAGTGGTAGTGTGCTAGCCAGAGCCAGACCCCTCCTTACAGGTCTCCCCCAGGCTCCGCCCACTCTATGCTAAACCCTTGATTTCTCCTCACACACCTGGTGCTCAGGCAACTCACCACTGTGACAGACCTGAGGCTAGCCCAGGATGGGACCACCTTGTGCCCCCCAGATCAAGCACAGCCCATCTCCCGACCTCCACCTCCAAGCGGGGTTACCTGCTGGGCGGTGATGCCACTGGCGATGGCCTGCTGCACACTCTCCCGGGTCACCTGTGCCACCACCATGTTGGGGAAGCGATAGAGCATCTCAGAGAAGAGGGCGATGAGAGCGATCTGCAGCTCCGACTCTGACCCAGGGATGAAGAGGAACGAAGAGGTTGTGCACACCTGCCTCCCTCCAGCCTGCCCCTCAAGTATGAGGAGAAATGCCAGAGGGTTCCGTAAGCCACGGAGTAAGCCATGGAGTAAGCGTGTCCGGTGTTCTCCCCCAGTCCAACCTCACCCGTATAGGCATACAGTCGGTAATTGGTTTCCACAACAATGAAGCCGGGTTGGTGCACAGTGCCTCCAGCCCCAGAGACGCCAGATGAGAGATTGATGGCCAGGCGAGTGGGGTAGTACCTCCGAGATTTCCTCTGGGAAGGACACAGGGAAAGATGGAGGCCCCCCCCCCCAGGTGTCACCACCCCAACACCTTCCTGTCTAGGACATCAGATCCCTACCAGGGCACAAACCTTCAGTCTTCAGCTCCCTCCCACAAGGCACCCAAGCACTCAATCCTGGCAAGGGCTTTCTGCTGCTGCCCCAAGACCCCACTTCCCTAGAAGCCAGGTATCTGGGTGCTCATACCTTCCTCTGGAAAACAAGCCCGAACTCACGCAAATGCTGCAGGAAGTTCAACAAAGAGTCACTCATCCCCTCCACGGAGTAGTCCTAAGGAAAAGACAGCCACTGGGGTGCACGATGCATCCCACTGTTCCTATGCAGCTCCTTACTCCCCTCCTGTTCCTTCTCTGGTAGTTCTGTGGTCGCTCTCTGACTATTCCACACAGCCTCTTCCCATCTCCCAGTCCTCCAGCCCCCTACGTACCTTGCCCAGAGTAGAGAAGCTGAGCTGGAAGAGGAAGGAGAGAATCTCCACTAGGTCCATGCCCCGGCTCTGGAGAGAGAGCAGGCAGAGTGAACGAGAGTGGGAGAGGAAAAGGAGAGACAGGGAAGGATAGTTAGGGAGCGCAGTCTGGGGCGGCTGTTTCTTGGTGGGACCTGAGCAGAGGGAAGTGTGGCAGGAGCCCTGGCTCCTCACCTGGGCTGTCTGCAGGTACTGCAGCATGAAGTACCAGAGCTGGGCAGGTGTGTCCAGCAGCAGGAACTGGAAGCCAGCAGAGGTAATGCAGGGCGGCTCTCCAGGCTCAGTGCTAGAAGGATGATGGCGGAGAGGCAGTGAGACCATGCTACAGAGGCAGTGGAGGAGAGGCCACGCTACAGGGACAGTGGAGAAGAAGACACGCTATGGGGGCATTGGAGGAGAGGCCACACTACGGGGCAGTGGAGAGGCCACGCTACTGGACAGTGGAGGAGAGGCCACGCTACGGGGGACGGGGGCATTGGAGGCGAGGCCACGCTACGGGGGCAGTGGAGGAGAGGCCACATTACTGGACAGTGGGGGAGAGACCACGCTACGGGGGCAGTGGGGGAGAGGCCATGCTACGAGGGCAGTGGGGGAGAGGCCACGCTACGGGGGCAGTGGGGGAGAGGCCACGCTACGGGGGCAGTGGGGGAGAGGCATGAGAGGCCACACGGCCCATGCTCCTCTTGCAGGACTCCGTGCGATTCCTCCTCACCCTCGATGCCCAGTTTATTTGAGATCAAAGGACATGACCAAGCAGGAAGCTGCTGCCTTGGCCTTCTCACCTCTTCATGAGTCCAGCTTGGCTGAGGAGCTGAGCCAGGTCCTGGCTGACGGCTGCACTGGGGGAGCCCACCATGAAGTGCAAGACCACCTAGGGATGGAAAAGAAGACTGAGGCTTGGAGAGTTGTGGGAAGTGGGCATGGCAGAGACACGCAGAGCGCAGTCCTCACCTCCCAGCGCTCCTCGGCATACTTGTCAAGTGAGGGGACGTCCCGAGCGTGCTTGTCTGGTCCCAGCTGACTTGTGTCATCAGACCAGGCCTTGCCCCTGTGGCCAGGATGGGTCAACAATAAGGCCCCTGTCTCTGTTCCACTCTGCCCTGAGCCTTTCCCACACTCAGCCCATGGGCCATCTACAACCTACAGCCACATCTGCTCCAAGATATTCTTGAAGGAGTTCCCAAAGGTTCCCCATGGTTCTGGGGAGGCCTCTCAGGAGCCCCCCTCACCCATCGGTGTAATCAGCAGTTCCCCTGGCCTAGCTTAGGAAGAGAGGGAAACGACATACCCACCCAGAAGGGCAATTCGGAGGTTCTGGCGGAAGATGGGGTTGAGGATGAGGCCCTGGAGTCCGCCAGGGAGCAGCTGTGTATGCCAGATACGGAGGGTGCTCAGCAGCCCTGTGCTTTCCTCCTGAGCCCTAGATGGAAGCAGAGTTGAGGGGTGTCTGTTATGGGAGTAGAAAGCCTCCATTTGTGCCTTTTCTGGACTGGTGATCCTTGGACACTGTCCCAGAGTGAAACTGTGTTTTCTTACTTCAAGTGTCTTTTCAGCAATGCGGAGTACAGCCTTATTTTTGCTGTTTCTTTTTGTTTTCTAAGTCAATTTCTTTTTTGTTTATTTGGATTTTGCTTGCTTTTTTTTTTTGTTTTGTTTGAGACAGGATCTCATGTAGCCCAGGAAGGCCTCAAACTCACTGGGTAGCTGTTGAACATCTGATCTTCCTGTCTCCACCTTCCAAGTGCAGGGATTAAAGGCATATGCCACTATGCCTAGTTTTATAGGGCACTGGGGGTCAAGCACTCTACCAACTCAGCTGCATCCCCAGTCCTGTTTTTCATTTGATTTTTCTTTTCCTATAAATTCAGGGGTTTGATTTTGCTTTGTTTTTTTTCGTGTGTGTGTGTGTGAGAGAGAGAGAGAACTTTATTTAATTGTCCTTTTGTTTTTATTTTTGTTTTGTTTTGGTCTTTTTGAGACAGGGTCTCCCTGTAGCCCCAGCTGGCCTGGAACTCCCTATGTAGACCAGGCTGGCCTTGAACTCACAGAGATCTGCCTGCCTCTGCCTCCCAAGTGCTGGGATTAAAGGCGTGCACCATCACACCCAGCCTTACTTTGGTTTTCTAAGTTAGCATAGAACTAGTTAGTTGGTTAGAAACCATAACTCTCCAAAATATAAAATATTCTAAGTGGATTGTCTCAAACTTAATTACAAGTTTTGTAACATACCCACTGAATCTTTCTGGAGGTTAGGGATGTACCTCGGTGTAGGGCACATGCTTAGCATAGACTTTTGGAAGACCCTAGGTTCGATTAACACCTCAAAATCTGCACACATACATTTACTGGAAGTGTTCCAAGGAAGGGCAGTTTGGGAAACCCAGACTCTGAGAAGCTGGCATCGGGCTGCGCAAGCAGGAGAGACTCACGTGCTGAATTCCTTCTTCACCCACAGGGCCACAGCAGCCTGTGGCAGGGGCTGCTCCAGAAAGAGCACCCGCATCACCCAGTTCTTAGCCAAAGATGGGAGCTCCCTATAGGGGTCAGAGGCCAAATATTAACACCAGAAGCTGCCTCACACCTGCATCTCCACGTCTCGAACATCTCACCCCATCCCACAGTCCTAATGCCCCACAAGCTTCTGTTTGGTCTGACATACTCTGGAGTAATGTCTAACACCCTGGTACCTACACTGGGCTAAGTTTCTCTGCATGATAACTAACTCCAGTCTGCAGATCCCGTTACATTTTCCCATCACCACAGTCCTTGCTATGAAGGCTCCTCACCTGAAGACAGCCAGACAAGTGGCAGGGTGAGCATACAATCGGTCCAGCACCCCAGGACTCAGGCCCCCTAAGAACTCCTGTAGATTCCTGCACTGTAGGTGTGCTCGGTTCAGTCCAGCCCTCGAAGAAGTGCACTCCATCACCTGAGAGATGCAAAAGTCAAAAGTACTCACGCACAATGCAGCTTGTCACCCCATTCCACACCTGTCAGCCCCATACAACCCCATCACTTCTGTGGTTTCCTCTCTCCTCATCTCCCAAACCCCAGGAATGGCCCCATCTGTTCCTGCCTCTTCATCCCACTTTTTTGTTTGGTTTGGGTTTTTGTTTTTTGATCATGCAGTCCAGGCTGGCCTCAAACTAGCTATGTAGCCAAGGATGGCTTTGGACGCCTGGCTTTCTGACTTTACCTCCCAAAAGCCAGGATCACAGGCATGAGCCACCACACCTGCCTTAAACTCAAGTCTTCTCTTAATTTCCAAATGATGGAATAGTTCTTATTTTTGAGTATGATCCTGAAGATCCAGAACCTCGCCAGTGCTGACGAGTGACAGAATTACTCATTGTACCATACTTCCAAAATGATTTTGCATTGCATGATGTCTAATCTTCAGCTAAGCAGACAAAGACACTTGTTTGAGCTCTGGAGGCATGGCCATAAACTGCCTTCCTGCTTCCCAATCTAAATCCACGTGTCTCTCCCCCCAAGCTGCCTCCCCTCTCACTAGACCAGCTCCATCCGCGCTCCTCACTTCCCGGCTTTCCTTCCACGCCTCTCTCCCCTCCCGGGCCCCCTCACCACTCGGATCCCCCTCGTGCACCCCGGGTCCCGAGCTGTCGCTTAATAGGAACCAATGTCTTGCATTGGCTTCTGGAGATAAAGGAAAAGATGGGTGAGAAAGGTGGGGAAATAAAACTTCAAACAGACAGGACCCAGAGTGGAGAATGAGAAAAATGAGAGCAGTGTAGCGTGTGAGGAGGACAGGATTAGGCGCTGCACGTGGCCGCCGCGTGGTTTATTGGGATTGGAGTCCTCTCCTTGCCGACACCAGCGCAGCGTAAGGAATGCTTGACTACAACTCCCGAAAGGCACCGCGAGAGGCCCGGCGAGAGAAGCTGGTTTTTAATCAGGAACCCTTGGGAACACCCCAAATAGGATCATTTCGTTCCGCTCCTTTCTCACATGCTACTAACAGCGGATTCTGCGTGAAGGAGCCCGAGGGCTTCCTGGACCGGGTGCGCGATGATGAATCAGACTTAGAAACCTCAAAACTGGGTTCCTTACCCATGAAATTGGTGTAATGCACAAAGCAGAGCATTTTCACGAATTAACACGATCCAATATGCCCTCACTGTGGCAAGTAAATAATGCAGTTTCATTGCGTCCAGCGCCCTTGTATTTGGTCGGAAGTCTCCACTACAATTTTGTTTCTTATTTTTAAAGAAAGCAATCGTCTGCTCTGCTTTGATTTATGAATTTACTGCAGAGAAAGGGAAAGAAAGATCTTGAGCCAAGGTCAACAATACAGTTCTCCATATTCTTGTTAGGACATGTTCTGTTTTTCTTGACAGACTACCAGGCCAAGGGAGATTAAGAAATGTGCCCAAAGGGACTGGAGAGATGGCTCAGCAGTTAAGAGCACAAGCTGCTCTTGCAGAGGACTGGGGTTTGGGTTCTAGTATCCACGTGACAGCTAACAACCATCCAAACTCCAGCTCTAGAGGATTCAACGCCCTCTTCCTGCCCCCTCAGGCACTGCATGTATGCGGTGCACTTATAGAGGTGCTAGAGAAACACTCATACACATAAAATAAAAATACATAAAATTTTTGCCGAGTATGGTGGTCCATGCCTTTAATCTCAGCACTCAGGAGGCAGAGGCAGGAAGATCTCTGTGAGTTCAAAGCCAGCCTGGTCTACATAGTGAGTCACAGGCCAGCTGGGGCTACAGGGAGACCCTGCTTCAAAAAGACAAATAAT